CAGTGTCGCTTTTCCGCCGATTAAGTGCATTTTATAAGTAACTGCTCCAAATATTTTAAAAAGTAATCACTGTTCTAGAAAGAGAAATTTATTATTGTATTAATGTATCAATTAAGTTTGATTTTTAGGTTTGGTTTGAACGACTTGAAAAAGTTGACTATACTGGTATTTGACATTCCCAGGCAAATTATTTTTTAATATTTTTTCATGTTTTAATATTCTCCAGATTTAACTATCCAGATTTAATAAAAGGCCAATTATGCAGAAATTAAGTCAAATGCTGAAACTCTGATCGAAAAACTAACTCAAGTCAAAGACGCCAATCTGCTATGTTTGAACGCCATTTTGTGACAGTGCAGTCACTTTTTTGTGTGCAAACATTGGCTTTTATTTAATAAATAATTACAAAGAACACTGCAACTTTATGCAATTTATTGGGATGTGCGGGAAGGGTGCACGGTAGGGGAGTCTGGCCCATTGAGTAACATACTATTCAAAACACCTCCCGACTACCGTCTACCATTCCAGTCAATGGCTCGTTATATTCAAGAAAAACCTCCGAATTCTCTGATTGAGGTTTAAAATGGAGTTACATGATTCTTCCGGTCAAAACTGAAAGAGCACTATTGCGAATAAATCGAAATGGGCTAATTTTGAAATCTCGATAGTTTGCTTCCTGTTGGGTTTAGAGAAAAGTGTTAGATAATTTCAAGCTGTTTAAGATTGAATATAACTATTTTTATGTATGTTGCTCTAAAAAGGAAATATTTAGCGTAAACCAAAAAAAGTTGGAAATTTCAATGGGTTTTGGAGCATTTAGCGATCCCACAAGGCTTTCAAGGGAGGAAACATGAATTTTTAATATTCATTGCATACCTAACAATATAAAAAATAAACTTGAATTACTCGACAATTTGCAAGGTAACATGTCTAATTTGAATGGGCTAGTGAACTAGTGAACTTGGAAACAAACGGCTTAGCAAATCCGAAGTTCCGATTCCAATGGTTAACACCATTTCCTCCAGCGACTGCCATCCAAACCCCATTCCGCAAGATAGGCCGTAATTCAATTCTTTCATCTAAGTTTCGGCCTAATCCTCGAGACGTTTAGCGGTCGGTTCAGCGGTCTACGAATTGGTTCGTTCCTAAGCCCAATCCTAAGTCCCCAACAACTTTACAAGCCCAATTCTAACTCTAGTTTTATACCGGTTTTTATCTACGTTATTGAATTTAGTTTTATGTTTACATATTCATTTAACACTATCAAGTCAATAACATACCCGAGAAAGGATATTTAACTATTAATATTTTAACATTTTTCGGTACTTCTTACCTTTACAATGATAAATAGGCAAATCTAGTATTAAATAAAATAGGATAGATGCAGGGAATAGGCTTATTTAAAATGCTGACGAACCTCGTACAATTACTGATCACAACTGATCCTTACTAGATTTTATTGGGTTCTATCGTATTTTCTGGTGGTCTTTCTTATTTTTGAAATCGATGTAAACCTGTTGAACTACACCATTGTATTCTAATTACCTCTAATATTTATTGTAAGAGAACTATTTGATGAACGTTGAATAGTTATGTCTTTAATTTCATATTGCTATGGTTTGCCACTGCATTGTTAAGCCTCCAGCACTGTCCTCGACGTATTCCAAGATATGATTCACGTAAATATTTTATAACATACGGGAAGAAATCTTGAACTTGGAAAAGCAAAGACAAAATGATTTTCTAAAAAATCAAAACTGAAATATATGCAGTAAAATACCATTAATCAGGATTAGATGAGACTGCGAAAGTCCAGATTAAAAAGAATTTGCAGTAAAGTGGCCATTACAAAATATTTTGGCCAATTTTTCACCCTCATAAATAAAGCTTTCGCATCACATTAAAATATAAACAAATGATTTGATATAAGTTATTTATATGCATTTAAGGTTAATTACTTTGTGTTTAATACTCCATCAAACGAACCGCAGTGCAATAACGTTGTACTGTAATAATTAATAATTTCTAAAACAAAATAAACATGTCGGGGAAATATGGCAAGGTGTAAATGTTGCGGTGTTCCCCACAAGACAAATCTTTCGGTATAACATATACCAAGCAATTTCCTATTTCTTTTTACCAGTTAACAAGAATGTGTTTACCCGGCTCATGTCCAAACCCTCTCTTTAAATTATTTTCCGACTTACCTTTCGCTCATTCGAATTTTTAAGTTACTAATTTTTTTTTTTTAATTCTGTTCCAATTAATGTCTCTGCTGAATTTATAAAATAAAACATTCATATTAACGAAAACAAAAAAAGTATAAGTTGACTGGTATATTTTCAAAGTATATTTGCTTATTTAACATAAAACATTGAGAGTGAGTTAAAAAAAAAAGTGGAAATAAAATGCAAAATATTAGTAAATTAATATAAATATGTTTTGCACTGAATTCGAATTACCACTTACAGGTAACTAATAGCTGACAGTAATCCCAAAAATCACAAATAAATCAAGTACAAGTATTGAAAGAAATAACTGAAGAGGGCGAGAGATCCAAGGAGGACGCCCAGTACTGAAACAAGTCAACACTCAACTGAGTAGCTCAACTCATTGCGGAGCCCCCACCAACCCCAACCTCCCACTTTCCACAAGTTTCATTCTACATAATTTAACATTAACATCATATCAAATATTAAATAAATAAATTGTAAAAAAACAAAAAAAAACAAAACAAGATAGCAGTTTCATCCAGTATATTTATATATATATATATATATATATATATATATATATATATATATATATATATTTTTTTTTTTTTTTTCTTTTTTATCATTTGGTAAAGTTTCTTTTATCAGATCGAATATTTCCGATAGCCACGATGTTTCATTTTTCCTCAAGCTTTTAAGTGACCAAATCTGTATTTTTTGAAACTATTATTTTATAATCTAGCGATGAATAGTCCGTGATTGAAAGCCGAGGTCGTTACGATGTTTAAACAGTCAGATTTTCTGAGGTTTCGAGATAAAAAAAAAAAAAAACCTGTACCACTACAACCCATGAAGGGTCTTGGGTTCAGTACTATTTAGGGAAAGCACTGTTTCTTGGTCTACGGTTGTGCAAGGAGGTGATTTGACCGAGATCACGCTCAACCACCATAAAAAAATATTTAAAAAATAAATAAAGAAAAAATATCTAGCGATATATTTGGTAAATGATGCATATAATTAATATAAAATGGAATATAAGGACCAGCAGAACAAAGTGAATTTATTTATTAAGCTTTGACAATTAAACCTTCTACAGAATTTGACTTACTTATATAAACCTAAAATGATTTCATGTCTTACTGCTATTTTTGAAATAATCAATGTTTACTTCAAGAATAACTAATTGGCCCCTGGGAACTAATTGTCACCAAATGGCAAAATAATGTGAAAATAATAAATTACAAAAAATTGAGGGGATTAACAATAAAAATTTAATTTTTGTACCTCCATTATTGAAAATAATAAACTAAAACTTTCTAAAGATAAGTGGCTATTTTATATGTTCGCTAACCATGGTTTCATTTCGGTTTCTTCATAGGAAATTTGATCAACTTTCAAATGATTTGAGAATTCTTTGAATTGTGCGCAAATAATTTGTTATTTTTCACATTTTGTCACAATGGAAGTTTATTTATTTATTTTTTAAATTGAACTAGATTGGGCTTTATCTTTTTTATACTCAATATACATCTTCTTTTTTTAAAGTACCTGCAATTTAAACCATATAAATCACGTATTTCTAACCTATGTATTTTTGGTTGGTAAAATTTTTACCGGCGTGCATTTGGAGTGCTAAGATTGTGTTAAGCGCACCCGAGAGAGAGAAATACTTTATTTAAAGTGCCCTACTATATAGAGTTGCTCGATACACAACATACTCATCAATCCTTTTTTTTTTTTGGACATAGCACTTAATTATACTTGAATCACATATTCATATATAAATATATATATATATATATATATATATATATATATATATTATATATTTTATATTATATATATATTATATATATACAAATTCCTTTCCATATCACTTTGCATCATATACAATATTAATACTATACTACACCAACATAATTACAATTACACAATATACTTATATTTCGGTAAAACCGATACAAAACAATCTCTGAAATTTTAGAAAAAAAAAAATGATATTCGAATGCCGAAATTCCAAAATTAGAACGCACAAATAGCAAGTGGCATAATCCTATGAACACAGATAAAAAGAAAAGTTATTTAATATTTTTTTATTCTAAATGTTTTATGAAATTCGTCAACCAGCGTTTCAAGCAAACAGTTTCTAATAACCTTCATGGGTAATATAATAATTTTTTCCTTAATAAATTGCAAAATGCGAAAAAAAACGAACTCTCAATTATTTTGTCTTGCAAGTTTTTACAAACCGATCTATTTTCAAGTCGGAAGTATTTTAAAACCTTTCTCATTCCATTAAGTATAAGTTCAGTTGGGAGAGGGAGGAACAAGGAAGAGGTAGGCTAAATAGATAATCCTACACAAATCTTTTTTATAGATTGTAATTTTGTGACGAATTTATATATTTGAGAGAGATGAAATAGATGTACACATGTATAAGACTGATATTTTTGTAAAGGTAAATAAAAAGCGATTCATATTCATATGCTGAGGATGAGGTAAAGATATAGAAACGTTAGAAAATGCAGAACGACAAGTTAGGCATAGAGCTGAAAAATCATAATATTTGATATTAGAGACTTCATTCCTGGCCATTATATTTTGATGAAAACAATTAGCTAAACTTGTAAAAAGCTGATTAGCACATCTCAATTCAGGGACGTATCCAAGGGAAGGGAACGGATGTCAAAATAAAATAGCAACAAATAATTCTCGACTAATGTAACATAAATAAAGAGGGCGGGACTACGCAGTAATGTAAAGTGAGAAATTGAATTATTTACTAACCTTTTTCGGCCCCAAAGAGGTGACTCTTCCTCCTTTTCAACGTGGATGACCTGTTCGGATCTTCTTGTATCATCATCTTTGGAAGTCCCTGCTGCCAAGCAATTATATCCCTTCTTGTTGTTTACAGAAGCCCTGAAATTTACAATCACATACCATACATGATAAACAGCATATTGATTTGCAAGATTTAACAAAAAAAAAACAAAGAAACTGATCAAGTGTGTTCACTCATCTTTCCTGAAGAACAATGGCAAATGGAATCCAAACAAACCACTCCCAGAAAGTCTTCAGGTATATTGATTAAAATAAAATAAATAATTATTAATTATGAAGTGGGAAAACCACAAGACTGTTTGCTGAGTAAATATAGAGAGCTTATCGATCATAGCGACATTTTTAAAAATTGAATTTGGCAAAACATCGGCTTAAGAGTATTTTTAATTCATGCCTCAAGAGACTTTAGCGTCACAGTCTGGATGTAATGGATCAAATTTTCTAGATATGAGTGTTTGCCTAAATATGTTTCAAACCACAAGTTGATCAATTTTAATCAGCCAGTGTTTTAAAAAAATAAGTAATAACTTTACATCGGTATGGCCATTTATAGTCCGAAGATGAATAGATAATCAGTTAGGAAGATATCTAGATTTTACAGAACAAATTCACACACAAAAAACTTCAATTTTCTGAAGAAATGTATTCAGTTCACTTAATTTCACCTTGGAATTAATCGATAATTCATTATATTCGATATGTGAACGCATGAAAAGACTAATCCTATAAATCAAATTGTTGCTAGCCTCTGGTAACAAAAGTATTTGATTGGAAATAAGAATGTAAATAAAACCGGCCTATCTTGAATATGGTATGCAATGGCACAGATAGTCAGAAAGGCTACCCCGAGGATTAATTAATTCAATGCGCCCATATATTCCAGCTCACCCATTTCGACTATAGTATTGCAATAAGAATGTTAAACATAAAAATACACAAGCTTTTATTTAAATGTGGTTAACTGCCACCATTTATTATGAGCATTTAGTTAAAATATTAATTAACTGTTAGCAACCTCTGTTCAAGACCTTGTCTTTACTTTGAATGGAGACATTGTTCCGCTATGTTATTTAAGTCAAGAGTAGAAGGCGTAAATAATGCCAATGAAATGGATGCGAGGCATTGTGCCACAGGGGCTATGGGGGTCTATGAAATTGATATTTCAACCAAATGAAAAAAAAAATATGTATTTTTAGCACTATTTACTCATTTATTGCAATTGTGTTCTGATTAGAACGCTTGAGAGTGAGTTTGGAAAGTGTTGCGAGGTTAAGATGTACTTAATGAATAAATATAAAATTAGTTTCTGGAGATACTAAAATTATTTTTCTGGAGGGGGAGGGGAGGGGAAATATTAGGAGTGAACCATCCATATCGTTTATTTTTCTAATACACCGATGTATTTAATCATTGAAAGAAAAACACTATTAATTAATCGAAATGGAGGAATTGGAAGAAGAGGTGAAACACTCAATGCTTTCTCAAAACTAATTCAGTTTAAATAAAAATTGTTTTGAACTGGAAAACTTTGAATTTACTCCGATGTTTTGACTGAAATTTCTCCACTCAATTATGGTATTGCTAAAAAACTATAAGATACCAAATTTCACCTCATGAGATCCAACAGGGGCCGCTGAAAGCGACCAAATGCAGTGGGAAATAATATATAAATATTTACAGACACGTATGTATCAGACATCCAAAACCGAAAACGAGGTATGAAACGAATTTCAAATGCACAACCACCTCCTCCAAAGTGATTAATAAAAAAAAAAATACTCGTAGAAGAACAACCGGAAGGAAAAAATAATTCTATTGTTATAATCAAACTTTTGCAATTTGAAGAAACGGAAAAACGCTGATTCAATCCTGATTTCATTTTTGTTCAAATCATAATTAAATCAAAATTAAAAAAAGGGACCTAACAAACACCATCAAAATTTTTAAAATGTGATCAACATTAAAAAAAAAATCTTAAATTTAGGCAGAAAACCATTTTGATATCAACTCATTTTAATGTCGATCATTATGAGAAAATAGTGTTGCCCAAATGCGAGACTGAGACGAGTCTTGGTCTTGCAAACTCAGTCTTGGTCATGGTCTTGGTCTTGCGCAAGAGTCTTGCAGTTATTATTTGCTAATTAATATAGAGATATTACAGTATTTTTTTAGATATCAGAAACCTAACTATGCCCGAATGAAAAATTAGAGGAATTAAATGCAAAAGTATATTTGTTATAATATTTATTAACATATAGTAACTAAGATTGTTAAGTATTAGTAACTATTTAGCCTTAATTTTTATTTTAAAAAATCAAAAAATTTTTTTACCAGTCTTGATTTTGGTCTTGCAACAGTTAGGTGGCCATGGTCTGCACTTTGCAAGACCAAGACCGATTTTGGGCAACACTATGAGACAATTATACGATCACTTTCAATAAAATGGAAATCAATGTAGCTAAAATCTACTAAAATGTAGAAGAAAAAAAAGAAAGTTAAACAAGATATATATCATAAAATAATTTAATATAGATAGATCTACTCGTAAATTATACTTACATCTTGTAGAATAACTCGCAACAGTCAGTATATAAAACACCTCAAAAAAATTAAAATCCAAAAATCTGAAACAAAATTACAAGTTAATGTATTTGATGTTATTTATTATTGGTTTAAATAATACATTTTCAATGTAATTGAAATATTAGATATTTGTAAATAAACTATTAGTTGCTTAATGGTTCTAATCCTTCCATTGGAAGGAATAAGATACATTCAAGGATTATTTTTTACACAAATTGAGGTGAATTTTTCGAATCAAGTTTATACCTAATAAACTTCAATATAATTAAAATAGCCTATTAAACGAGCAAGTTTTTTTGAAAGTGGAGTATCTGTATCATATTGTATGGTTTTTAGCTTAGTTTAGCCGATCAAAAGTCCTTTTTAAATGGTGAATAGATTATCTCACACAAGAGTACCATGGTGGAATGAAAAATGCCAAAACCCCGTGAAAGCGATGAAACGTGCCCTCAACAAATTCAGAAAAACAAGAAATGTGCTTGATGCAATTGAGTTCAAAAGATTGAGAGCCATATCTAACAGAACTATCAAAGAAAGCAAAAGATCGTCATGGAAAGACTTCGTATCTTCAATAAATCAAAACATCTCAATGAAGGAGCTCTGGAATAAAGTGAAAAGCGTTAAGAGGATCCGCAAAACAAAGAAATTGCCTGGTATAAAGAGTGGACAAGACATTATAACTGACCCTGACGAAATCGCGGAAAAATGGGCAGAACACTTTTATCATGTATCCTCTAATATTACTCAAACCCCTATAATAACCTGTAGAAATGACAACAAGCCCAACAAAGCATTGCAAAAGAAGCATTGCCATATTCCAGGAAGTCGAAAAAGCTTACGACACGCTGTGGAGAAGGCGAGTATTAGACATACTTAGAAGATGGCACATCAAAGGAAAATTATGGAAGTACAAAAAGAATTTCCTAAAAACTAGAGCATTTAGTGTCAAAGTCGGAAGAACTTCAGAATCCTCTATTTACACTATGGAGAATGGCACTCCTCAAAGGTCCCCACTCAGCCTGACTCTCTTTCAGATAGATGACATAGCGGATGTATTTGTCAAGCCTGCAAAAACCATTTTGTACGCAGATGACATACTGCTGCTCATTCGAAGTAAATCTATAGAATTCTTAAAGTGGAAGACGCAAGAATCACTAGATAATATAGAAACATGGTCAACAGAGAGTGGCTTAAAACTATCTGCTAGCAAAACTAGAGCCATGCACTTTTGCAGACTAAGAGGTGCACACTAAATCCAAAAATACGGATGGGTGGTGCTGAAATTCCATTCGTTGACAGCCTGAAATATTTGGGAATGCAGTTAGATCTCCCGCTTAGATGGACAATTCATATAAAACTGCTCAAAGAAGAGTGCCTCAAAAGAGTTGCTTTACTTAAATGTCTTTCTCAAACGACTTGGAAATTGGACTACGGATTAACCGTTTAAGGCTCTGCTTCAAGCAAAACTTTAAGAATGTTGGACGTGGTACACAACTCTGCATTAAGACTGGGGCATTGTCAACCTCCCTTGTGAAAAGTCTATATGCAGAAGCTGGTGAACCTCCTCTAACCTTCAGAAGATTATTCATGACAACGAAGTATGGTCTTAAAATCACGACTAACCCAACACACATACTAAATAAGGCATTATTCTGTAATGAGGAAACAGGTAACATGAGGGGGAAAAACTTCATAGAAACACTTCTTGATCGTTTTTCGGATCTAAACATTGAAAATGCTCTGGGTGTGCCGGATATAATAATTCCCCGATGGACCAATGTCAAACCAACTATAGATACCTCAATTGCCAGACATAAAAAGGATATGGCACTTCCAGTTGAAGTTCCAAAATTATTTTTAGAAAATTTGGAAAAAAACATGGAGTGTAACATCTTGTATACGGATGCCTCAAAAGTAGATAAGGAAGTAGGATGTTCCATTATAAATTCTAATATTCAAAAACTATTCAAACTTCCAGAGGCTTGTTCAGTGTTTACTGGTGAAATGCTAGCAATTAGATAAGCTCTTAAATACATAGAGACAAGTGAAACTACCAATTGGGCAGTGGTGACAGACTCAATGAGTTCATTAGCCATTGAACATACCAGACCCAAAACCACTCTCGCAAAAGATGTAAGAAACGTTTGGAAGCTACTAAGGGAGAAGGGCAAAGAAGTAGTGTTCATTTGGGTCCCTTCGCATTGCGGGATCACCGGTAATGAACAAGCCGATCAAGCAGCCAACATGGCAAGAAAGCCAGATACAACATCCGTAGAATCACTTAATGAAATCCCTCTAGAGGATTACGTTAAAAAAATTAAGGAGAATATGTGGAACATTTGGCAAAACAAGTGGGCACAAAAAGAATCGAAATTAAAGGAAATTAAGCCCCCCTGTTTAAAATGGGAAACCTCTCACCGATCCTGTCGAAAAGAAGAGACAGCCCTCTGCAAATTACGAATTGGACATTGTCAGTTTTCGCACTCCTACCTACT